ACCCTACCTTGCATCTCTCCTCCTCCTCATCCTCCTCCTCCTCCTCCTCCTCCTCCTCCTTCCGTCCTCCCTCTCCCTTATCTCTGGTTTCATACGATGTGGGCCGGAGGTTGCGATGAAACGGTGCCTGAAGATATGGGGGAGGAGGACCAAGGACTCCGTGATGCACTTTGCAAGTTTTACGTCTCCTGGGATCCGCATCAGGGGCAGTGCGAGGAAGGGGCCCCAGAGTCTGTGTCGCGCAAGGGTCGGACCCGACTGGCCGATTCCGACGTAAGCAGTGTTTGCCCACCCGAGCCCACCGACAGTGAGCAGGCTCGGAGTGAAGACGCAGTGGGCCCCACTGCCACGCCCAGGCCTCCAGGGCCACCAAAGGCAGATGAGGAGCAGGAATACATAGATGCCCAGTCGTTTCTGGGTGAGCCAGTGTCGGACACAGCAGACGTGTCACAAGCATTCCCCCCACCACCCCAGCCAGTTCAACTGTCAGAAAAACTTCGGGCTCGCACTGCGAGGAATCGGCAGCAGGCACGAGATGGTGGGGTTGCCAGGGCAGCGAAAGCACACCTCGAAGTTACGCCTTGGGCAGCGGACCCCACGTTCGGCTGCTGCTTTTTTTTTGTTTCGCCCTTTGATGCCTGAGTGTGAGTGCGAATGGGCGCGGGCGTGGAGGAGGGGTCGCTGTTCTGCACCCCACCGATACGTTCGTTAATTACATCCCTCCCTCCCCCTCTTCCGTGCCGCCGCCGTACGTGCCCCCCCCCCTCTCTCTTTCGGCTGCGCCTTTGCTGACGGCCCGACGTGTACAAGTTCGAAGGACCCGCCAGCACTCCGCCCGTGAGGAGAGAGTGTGAGTGGAGAGGATCGGGGCCCACGTGACCACAGCCGGTGGTAGTGGTGCACCCGACAGCGCACCACACTTGCGAGACCTGCGACGCCGCACCCGCAAGTTCTTTTGCCTCCGCCCGTGTGCCTCTGGCCGGAGCCGCATGGGATCTTGAGGGCTGCTTGGCATGCAGATAGCCGATGGTGCTGTCCTCCTTTGTCGCTCAAACCGGGAAGGGAGAAGATGACTCGTCCTGGCCGGGCTAGTGACCGCAGTGCGCATGCTCGGACAATGGCCCGGCGGGGTGACGTGGTGGCTGGGGGGCGCGGGTTCGTGCGTAAGCGACCCGCCTGTTAGCTCCCATGGGTGGGGGCGCCCATGAAGGTTCGCGTGGTAGCCGTTCCCTGTCGAGGGGCGGTGGAACCTCGGGCCCACCATCAGATACCCCGCCAATGGCCGGCGCGATTCAGTTAAGGCAAACCACTTTGGCTGGCAGGAGAGGTTGTGCTGCAGTATCTCCTCTCTTGAGTCTGAGTGCGAAGATCGATGTTGTTCCCTCCGCCGTCTCGTTCTCGTGCCGTCTGGGGGCCGAAGACTCCTTCCCGCCTCAGGAATGTGATGAGTGGCCGAGGGTCGTCGCGACCTTCTTTGCGCGGCAGGGGCCCGGTACGAAGAAACAGCCAAGGACCGCCCGCCTGCGTCTCCTTGCATGTCCATTTCCCTGTTTGCATTCTCTGTACGTTTCTCGTACTGTGCTGCACTTTCTGCCTTTGTCTGCGGAAGGCCGTCAAGTTTGCCCGCAACCTTGGCGCCCGAGCCGACGCAATTTCAGGGCATCTGCCCCTGCTTTGCTTGGCGTGATCAATGCCGACCTGCCACCTGACCAGCCAGCGGTTAAATCAGGTGCGCAATCCCAAAAATCGGATCCCGGCAGTCGATTCGAGGCACCCGTTTCTGACTACCCACCACGCCACTCCAACCAACCCGAAGTCGCTGGTGGGCCTGCCAACTTCCAGTTGGGGGGCGCTCCGGAACATGGAGAAATCACGGAGGAGCCCGCACAGCCAATCTGTATGATAAGGATGTGCAGTACAGTCAACCCGTATAGTAAGGATGCGCGATAAGGATGCAAGGGCCTTGGACGCGCATTTCGAAGCTTTTCGAGCGGGGCGCGGCCGACGAAAGTGGCGAAGGATGGACCGAGGAGGCAAGGATGCAAGGGTACCTGTGGGAAGGTTGCTCATCCTTCCTATGCGGGTTGACTGTCAAGATGCAATGGCCTTGGAGGGCCATGCTAAAATTTGTCGAACGAGGTTGGCCAGCGCAAGCCGCTAAGGATGGGCCGAAGGGGCAAGGATGCCAGGGTACCCTCGGGGAGGTTGCCCATCCTTACCCTGCGGGTTGACCGTACACCCCCCGACCCGAAGTTGTGGGGTGCCTGGGGCCTTCGGGTTGGGCTGGGGTGGCTTGGCAGGCCGTGAGTTCTGGGCAGGAGCCTGCTCCGCCGAGGCCTGGCCGCCCCGTCCTAAACCCCTCCGCGTCCTCCGGCTGGCTCCCGCCTGTCACTCGCTCCCCGTCAATCAGCCCCCTGCTGTCCGGGAGGAGGAGGGAGGAGGGGGGAAGAGGAGGATGTGGATCCCTCGTCCATCAGCTCCTCGTCGTCCCCGTCTCTCCTCCATCCCTCTCGCCCCCATTCGCCGCATCTTCCCTCAGCCCCTCGCCGTCGCTGTCGCCGTCGCCGTTCTCCTCCTCCTCCAGAGACCTCCTGGATGCGGTTCGGGGGTCGGGCCAGGTGGAGACGCCTCTGGAAACAGCAGAACAAGCCCTTCCTCGTCCCCTTCCTGGGCGGAAGAGAGGGGCGCAGAGGTCTCGGGTCGTTCTTGGACTTCCAGCCAGGCTCGCCTTGAAATCCTGGTCGGATCGAGCGCATAGATCACCTCTCGCCCTATCCTTGTTCCTCCCTCCCTCCTGCCCGTTTCCTTTGTCCCTGCACTTCCTCTCTTCATCGCTACTCCTCCTCCTCCACCTCATCCTTTTCCACTGGTCCTCCCTCACCCTTTTGTTTTCTCCCTAGACTTCCTCCTCTCCCCCCTCCTCCTCCTCCTCCTCCTCCTCATCCTCCTCCTCATTCCTCTTCCTCTTCTTCTTCCTCCTCCCCCTCTTCCTCCTCCTCCTCCTCATTCCTCTTCATCTTCTCCCTCCTCCTCCTCCTCCTCCTCCCATTTCCTCGTCAAACCCGTCGTCGTTACCGTCCAGCTACTTCTGCTCCGCCGTCACCGCCCTCGTCGTGGCCGCCGCCGCCACAGCCGCCGCCGCCGCCGGCGCCGGCGCCGGCGCCGCCGCCGCCGTCGTCGTCGTCGTCGTCGTCGTCGTCGTCGTCGTCGTCGTCGTCGTCGTCGTCGTCGTCGTCGTGGTGCTCGTCGTTGTCTTCCTCGTCGTCGTCGTCGTCGTCGTCGTCGTCGTCGTTGACGAAGTCGACAACGTTGCCGCCGTCGCCGTTGCCGCCGTGGTCGTGGTCGTGGTCGTGGTCGTCGTCGTCGTCTTCGTCGTGCTCGTGGTGCTTGTCGTCGTCGTCGTCGTGCTCATCGAGCTCGTCGTCGTCGTTGTGCTCAACGTGCTCGTCGTCGTGCTCGTCGTGCTCGTCGTGTTCGTCGTGCTCGTCGGCATCGTCGTCGTCGTCTTCGTCGTGCTCGTCGTGCTCGTCGTCGCCGTTGTCGTCGTGCTCGTCGTGCTCGTCGTCGTCGTGCTCGTCGTGCTCGTCACCACCGTCGCCGTCGCCGTCGCCGTCGTCGTGCTCGTCGTCGCCGTTGTCGTCGTCGTCGTGCTCGTCGTCGTCGTCGTCGTCGTGCTCGTCGTCGTGCTCGTCGTTGTGCTCGTCGTGTTCGTCGTCGTCATGCTCGTCGTGCTCGTCACCACCGTCGCCGTCGCCGTCGCCGTCGTCGTGCTCAACATCTCCGTTGTCGTCGTCGTCGTGCTCGTCGTGCTCATCGTCGTCGCCGTCGTCGTGCTCGTCGTCGTGCTCGTCGTGTTCGTCGTCGTCGCTCGTGCTCGTCACCGTCGCCGACGCCGTCGCCGTCGTCGTGCTCGTCGTCGCCGTTGTCGTCGTCGTCGTGCTCGTCGTGCTCGTCGTGCTCATCGTCGTCGACGTGTTCGTCGTGCTCGTCGTCGTGCTCGTCGTCGTGCTCGTCGTGTTCGTCGTCGTCATGCTCGTCGTGCTCGTCGTGCCCGTCACCACCGTCGCCGTCGCCGTCGCCGTCGCCGTCGTCGTGCTCGTCTTGCTTGTCGTCGTGCTCGTCGTTGTGCTCGTCGTGTTCGTCGTCGTCATGCTCGTCGTGCTCGTCGTGCTCGTCACCACCGTCGCCGTCGCCGTCGCCGTCGTCGTGCTCAACATCGCCCTTGTCGTCGTCGTCGTGCCTGTCGTGCTCGTCGTCGTGCTCGTCGTCGTGCTCGTCGTTGTGCTCGTCGCGTTCGTCGTCGTCATGCTCGTCGTGCTCGTCACCACCGTCGCCGTCGCCGTCGAGGTCGTCGTGCTCGTCGTCGCCGATGTCGTCGTCGTCGTGCTCGTCGTGCTCGTCGTGCTCGTCGTCGTCGTCGTGCTCGTCGTCGTGCTCGTCGTTGTGCTCGTCGTGTATGTCGTCGTCATGCTCGTCGTGCTCGTCACCACCGTCGCCGTCGCCGTCGCCGTCGTCGTGCTCGTCGACGCCGTTGTCGTCGTCGTCGTGCTCGTTGTGCTCGTCGTCGTCGTCGTGCTCGTCTTGCTTGTCGTCGTGCTCGTCGTTGTGCTCGTCGTGTTCGTCGTCGTCCTGCTCGTCGTGCTCGTCACCACCGTCGCCGTCGCCGTCGCCGTCGTCGTGCTCAACATCGCCGTTGTCGTCGTCGTCGTCGTCGTCGTCGTCGTCGTCGTGCTCGTCGTGCTCGTCGTCGTCGTCGTCGTCGTGCTCGTCGTGCTCGTCGTCGTGCTTGTCGTTGTGCTCGTCGTGTTCGTCGTCGTCATGCTCGTCGTGCTCGTCGTGCTCGTCACCACCGTCGCCGTCGCCGTCCCCGTCGTCGTGCTCGTCGTCGCCGTTGTCGTCGTCGTCGTGCTCGTCGTGCTCGTCGTCGTCGTCGTTCTCGCCGTGCTCGTCGTCGTGGTCGTCGTCGTGGTCGTTGGCGGGCGGCGGGCTGGCGGGGGCGCCTGGCCCTTCTGCGCCTGGCCCTTCGGGGCGGCGGCGCCTGCCCCGCTGGAGGCGGCGGGCGGGGCGCGGTGGGCTGCCCCAACGGACGGCGACGGCGTCGAGGAGGAATCCGGGCCTGGACCAGCGATAGAATCCCGGCCTGGGACCCCGGCGGCGCCTCCGGCGCCGCCCCTGGCGCGCTCGGCGCGCCAGGGAGGGGGGTCCAGCGCCGATCCGAGAAATCCGCGCGGACCTCCGCGTTTTTTTCTGTTTATGCCACTTTTGTTCCCCTAAGCGAACGTGCGGACCCTCAGCTGGCCAGGGCGCCCTCCCCAGGATGCACAAGAGCACCCAACAAGCACGAGGAACAGCAGGGCACACAGAACCTCCAAGGGCGCCCTCCCCACGATGCACAAGAGCACCCAGCAGACACGAGGAACAGCAGGGCACACGGAACCTCCAAGGGCGCCCTCCCCAGGATGTACAAGAGCACCCAGCAGACACGAGGAACAGCAGGGCCCCCCCCCCTAGCGCCCTGGATGGCGTCCAGGAGGAATCCCGGCGGAGGAATCGACGGCGAACGTGCTGGAGCCAGCTTCGGGTGCTGCTCGTGTCGCGCGGGAGCGCCGGTTCTGCCGGGCGGCTGGCTTTCGGCGGCGAGCAGGAGTGCCAGCCCGAGGTAATTCAAGCGCGAGGACGCATCGAGCAGGATGTTTGCACGGGGGAGTGCCTGCAGCGCAGATCGCCTGGATCCCCCGCGGGGGATCTACGATGAATTACGTCAAAGCAGACAGGTGTTCTTCGACCGTTAGAGAGTAGGCACTTTGCGAGTAGTGGAACGCGCTCGGCGAGCAGAGGCGACAATGCCACTTCGGAGTGACATGCGAAGAGGTCGTTGTATGGGGGCCGGTGTGCGGCGCCGATGCCAGGGCGCCCCTGGCCCTAGGTCGGGCGTGTTCTCCTACGGGCGGATTTCGGTAGATGAATAGTATCCCAGTGCGACCCTACCTGGGAGTTGGAGCATTTAGGACAGCAACATCTACATCTACACCGACAGCTACATTTACATCTACACCTGCATCTACATCAACATCAACAGCGATATTCACATCTACATCTACATCTACACCTACATCTACACCTACATCTCCATCTCCATCTACACCTACATCCACATCTACACTTACATCTACATCTGCACTTTCGCATTGGTTTTGCCTTTGCTTTGCATTGCCATTGCTTTTGCTCTTGCCTTTGCTTTTGCCTTTGCCTTTGCCTTTGCTTTTGCGTGTGCTGTTGCTTTTGCTTTGTTTTTGCTTTTGCTTTTGCTTTTGCCTATGCTATGCTATGCTGAGCTATGCTGTGCTATGATATGCTCTGCTATGCTATGCTATGCTGCGCTGTGCTATGCTGTGCTGTGTTGTGCTGCGCTATGCTATGCTATGCTATGCTGCGCTATACTGTGCTATGCTGGGCTTTGCTATGATATGCTGTGCTGCGCTGTGCTGTGCTACGCTCTGCCATGCTATGCTGTGCTCTGCTATGCTAAAGCTCAGCGAAGCTAAGATGGCTAAGCTAAGATACACCTGAGCTAAGATGAAGCTACGCTAAGCGAAGATGAAATAAGCTAAGCTAAGATGAGATAAACAACGCTAAGCTAAAGGAACGTCACTGGGGGAACCGCGGGGCGGATGCCGGGGGAACCGCCCGGGGCGGGCCCCACTGCCAGGCCCTTTAAGCTTCCGAGTAAGAACCCTTCTACGCAGAGCCTAGGTAGGGGAAAACATCATAAAACATGTTCAGAACAAGCCAAATCAACACGAAATAGTTCCCAGACAATGTTTCAAGATATTCTTGAATGTTCTTCTTGTAGAGGAGCATGCCCGACTTAACCCTTGCCTGTGTTCCCTGCTTTTGCGCCACTTCGGGGCCTCTGGGGCCCTCTGGGCCTCGTGACGGCTGCTCTGCTAGCCAGCTGCGCCTCCCGGCGACAACTGAGGCCCACCCTGCAGAGCCCAGACCGCCCGAGAGAGGCCGCTCGCCGTTCTCGGCCTCAAGGCCCCGCGCCCCCCCAGGCGGTCAAGAAACAGTGCAGGGCGGTAGGCGCCCTGGGGAAAAAGTCGAGGGACTCCTACTCCGAGTTTCTGAAAAGCGTCGGGGGGGCGCCATTCCCGCCGACAGCCCCGCATCGACCCCCGTCGCGGGCAGCCACCGCGCGCCGAAGGCGCTTCGACCCCTGTCGCGGCGAGACGACGAGGCAAAGTTGACCGCCGTTGGGGGGTTAACCCCCCACGCTTATTCCGCAATCAGTTCTTGCACTGAAGGGGTCTAGCGGAAATTGAAAAATTTGGCGAAAATGTCCCGCCGATTTTGGTGGCCGTCTGGGTTCCTGGGTTCCCGGGTTCCCGGTTCCCGGGTTCCTAATTATTGGTTCAGGGCCGATTTCGGTGGGTTGCTGGGTTCCCGGCGTCCCGGTCGATCTCCTTATCGATCCCACTTCAAGCCATCCGCTGATTTGATTTTTCCCTGGTGTAATGGAGAGCCCCACTGTCTTGAAGAGGTCTATACGTCGGATCTCAGCAGAGGGCGGCAGGCCCCCGCCCGGCGGCGCTCCCGCCAGGGGCGGCGCGACGAGGCGGGCTACCCAGAAGGCGAGGGGCCTCCTCCGGCGGGCCTGGGGCTTCTCGGACGGTCTCTGGGCAACCCTGCGCCCGCCTCCCCAGCAGCCCCGCCGCGGCTTCTCAGTGTAGGCCGCCCGACCCGCGCCAGCACGTCGCGCGCGCCGCCAAGGCCGAGGGAACGCTCCTAGGTCACACAACTCCGTGCCTCGGGCCCCGCGAGAGCGCGCTTCATGACTTGAGCAGGGACCGACCGTCCCGGCATTCCTATAGGCCTACAACGACCTAGAAATAAAAACAATGTTCTTAAAACAGAAGCCCAGAATGTTATCACAAAACAATATCGGCCATACATGTTCTGAGAACATCCCGCGCCGACCACAATAGGTTCTTAGAACAGTCTTTGGTGGGCCTATGCGCCAGCCAGGACGCTTCGCCACTGCTTGAAGGGCGCGCCCTCGCGAAACGCACCTCCTGGCCGCGGTCGAGAGCGGGACGCCCCCGCGATCGAGGACGGAATGTATTGCGCGCCCCGGAATGTATTGCACGCCCCAAAACTGTACTGCAACCCCACAGAAGTATTGCACCACCACCCCCTGTCGCTGGGACCCACCCCCTTGTGGGTCAACCCGACTCTCGGGGGCGCGCAAACATGGATTAACCGAGCACGGGCGTTAGTAAAACATACCCCACCCCTTAACCCCCTCTATGTTTAAAATCCCCGCTCAATCGGATTTAATTGCGGAAAAGGGGCGCGGAAACCGAAATTGATAATCCACGGGGGAAACAAAACGAAGTTGTTATCATTTCTCATTTCATGTTGACTAGCAACAACATAGAAAAATGCTGAACATGGCCATGGTGGTCTCACCATATCAGCTTCCGCAATCACGAGCGTATGGCAGGGCTGTGGGATGCTCACCAGTTCAGTTTGCCCAAGCCACGAACGTGCGGCAGGGCCATGGAATTCTCACTTTCTCTGCCGTTCCCGAGTCAGGAACGTGTGGCAGGGCCATGGGGACCGATTGGAATTTGATATTACATGCGTTTTCGAGCAGGCAGAGCACTGGAGTTAATTGCTTCTTTAGCGCATCCCTCTCACGGTTCGTGGCCCTTCCTCCTCTTCCTCCTCCTCCCCCTCCTCCTCTACCCCCGCAGCTGCCCAGGCCCGAGCTTCCCCGAGTCTCCGAGACCCCAAGTGTTCGAGCTTCTTCGAGGCGCCGAACCTCTTCTCTTCAGGGGCAGCGATTGGGGGGGATAGGCATGAGAGGACAGATCGATCCCCAACCGCCTGTGATCGCAATGCCTGAACCTGCCCAGGAACGCGCCGATTCACGATCGGGCGCGCGTCTCCGATGCATCGGCGATGTATCGCCGATTCCGAGTCGATGTTTCCCCCCCGATGCCTACCCCCCCCCCCACCGCATCGCTGCCACTGAGTGCGTCGCGAGCCTCAGCCATGTCCCAGGCCGCCGAGCGCGCCCAGGCGGCAACCCAGCCTGTCGCTGCCCTGCAAGGAGTCGCGAGCTCGGACTCGAACGAGATCCTCGAGCGCATGGCCAAGCCAAACAGAACGAGAAGATCCTCGACAATCTGTCCTTCGCAGCGGAAGTGATCGCTATTGCCGAGATGCGCCAATGCCAGTCGAGTCGAAGACCTCGGGTTCGCGAGCCGAGGATCGAGGATGGAGCCTCGGCGATCGTCGATCGCCCTCGTCGCCGCCCTCGAGCCCAGACCGCCATCAAACAGGCTCGATCCTCGGATCGAGGGTCCGAGATCTTGGTTCCGAGCATCTTCGAGCGTCTTGGATCCTAGATCCGAGAGCCGCCGCGCTTGGACTCGAAGATCTCGGGTTCTCGATCCGAGGGTCGAGGATCGAGCCTCGGCGATAGTAGATCGCCCCCCTCGCCGTCCTCGGGCGCCCAGACCGCCGTCGAGGAGGCTCGATCCTCGATCCTCGGATCGAAGATCCGAGATCTTTGTTCCAAGCATCTCTGAGCGCCTTGGATCTGGGATCCGAGGATCGCAACGCGTGGACTCGAATATCTCGGCTTCGACATCCGGGGCTCGAAAATCGAACCCCTGCGATTGTCGATCTCCCTCGTTGCCGTCCTCGGGCCCAGACTGCCATCGTGCGGGCTCGATCCTTCATCCTCAGATCGAGGGTCCGAGATCTTGGTCTTGAGCATCTGCGAGCACCTCGGATCCTAGATCCGAGGATCGCCGCGCTTGGACTCCAGGATCCTGGACCCTCGATCCGAGGATCGAGGATCGAGCCTCGAAACCTGGCGGTCACGCGCGCGCGCAAACGCGCACGCAAACGCACTCGCACGCACGCGCGCGCACGCACGCACGCGCGCACTCGCACACTCGCGCGCACACACACGCTCACACTCACACTCACACACGCACCCACACACAACAACAACAACAACAACAA